TCACTTTCTGTGCCCGAGCTGCTCTGAGTTCCGACAACCACTCGCTCACCTCTAATCCTCTGCACACTCCACTAAGAATCTACTCCCTGGTTCTCCTGGTTAGCCTTTACTGAGATCTTAGATTCAACTCCAGCATCCTGTCCTGCAGAGCCCAGTGCAGGACCTCACCCACGCCGGCTGAGAGGCCCTCTGAGTCCAAGACCCTCATGTGCCATGTGGCTCAGTAGGTCACATGTGACTGCTGGGGGCTCTTGTTGGTGCTTTGTGGAGCAGGGACTATCTGATTTACTACTGTGACCTGAGACCCTGACGTGAGGAGGAGTTCGGTGCCTATTCTGAGCCTCTCCTGCTACCTGACCATCCACCCCAAGTGTCGTGGCATCAAACAATGACTTCTTCCTGCTCTCAGGCTCCGTGGCCACCACTTGGGTGTGACCCCTGTTCCACGGTGTCTGAAGGCTGCCCCAGAGTTCACCTGCCTGGCCTCTGGGCTGGGCACAGCTGGGACTGATGGAGCCCATAGAGGCCTTGAGCAGGGACCAGGCTTCTCGCAGGTCCACAGCTGGATTCTCAGAGGGAGTGCCCTGAAGGCCAGGGGACACTCCAAGAGAACCTGGCCATGCCGCACACGTGGCCTTTCACGACTGGGCCTTAGACGCCTGGGGCAGCTCCCCAGCATGCTCTGGGCAGAGGCAGTGAGCGGTCAGCCGTCCAGGGGAGGGGGCCGGGCCCACCTCTGGGTGGATCACCGTGACCAGCCTCTGCCCAGATCATGGACTCCCCAGGGCCTTCCTGGACACCTCCCTGGTGGTCCTCACGATATTCCGGCATCATGAAGAAACCGAGGCACAGAGAAAGCCGTGTGTCCCAGGCTGCCTGACAAGAGCCTCACGGTCAGCACCGTGCTGGCCAGGACAGGGTCACTGCCCGTCCCTAGGGTGGCCAGCAGCGTCTCATCAGCTGGCACCGATGACGTGCCAGGCATTGTGGTTACACGCTGAGTATTAGTTCGTTTCCTCTTCATGACTGGCCAATAGGTGATAGTTATCATCCTTAACTTTACGGGAAAGTTGAAACTGAGTCATAAAGAAGACAGAGAGGAGCCGCCTGGGATTAGGCCAGGCAAGAGAGACCACTGCTGTGGCACACAGTTTAAAAAGATGAAAAAAAAGTCCTCAGTCATAGAGCCAAATAATATTTTCAAAATAAAAATTAAAGTAAAAAAATCCAAAATACACAAGATGTCAACATTTTAAATAAAGATGAGGGCATCCTAGTCTAGACAACTCAAACTCTCCTGGACCTAGAGACCCATGAGCCCAGCAGAAATGCTATGGTCATGGGCTACTGAATTCTGGGGCGGTTTGTTACACAGCATCTCTGCAGCCATTGCTGACTGTTACAAAAGGGAATTTGCCTGAGGACCCTCAGCTGCCTCACCACCCTCAGTACTGAGATTTGGACCCAGGCAGCCTATATTAGCAGTTAAAATGCATTCTCTCTCTCGTAAGGGCATATTCCTGGGCACCTGGGTTGGTTCAATATTCACACATTCTATTTCCAAGGGGAGGCTGGGGACCTCCATGAGTGCCATCTTCCAGGCCCCTTTGATCTGGCAGATGACCCAGACCCTGGCCCCTTCATTTTGGCTGAGACTTTAACGAGGCTGATTCCAAAGCCAGGTGCCACACCAGGAGCATGGCCCCCCACGCCTGCAGCCCCCCTTTGTCAGAGACACAGGCGGGCAAGGTACAGTGCGTGGAGGGCAGCGTAGCGTGCGGAGAATGTCATCCTGTGGCTCCGGCTTGAGGGCTTGGCTTGTGTCCCTGCAGTAAAGGGCTCTGGGGCCACGTGTCTAATGGGGGACAGGCAGGCTGGGTCAGAGCTCAAGTTCCAATGGAGCCCACAGTGACTTAGCCCCGGAGTCGAGTGGGCAGGAGCGTAAATCTCGCTTTGCCCAGACGTGGGACCACTGGACAGAGGCTGGCACGGTGATGCCCTAGGCCCTGGCCATGAGGACATCAGGAGGGTCATAGAGTCCGAGGGCATCGAGAGGGACAGAAGGGCTGAGCAGCCCCCACAAAGAGCCACACAGGCCCCCACAGCCAAGAGACCCCCAGGGCGGCAGTGGCCTCTGCGGAGCTGCGGAGTCACCCTCGATCCAGGTCCACGCCATCTTCAGGCGTCTGCCTTGCCCTCCCTGCAGGGCACGGCCACCGGGCAGGAAGAACTTCCCCGCTCTGCTGGCCTCTTCCCCTGCGCCCCAGAGCACCCCCAAGAATTGGGGGGAGGGAAACCGGAAGCCGCTAGAGGGACCCAGGAGCCCCCTCCCCCCCGGGTGGTGCAGTAGCCGCCAGTCGCAGAGGAAGCCCCCCCCACGAAGACCAAAATGCGGGGTCACGTGGGCCCAGGATGTTTGGTTGAGCTGGTATTTGCCACTGGGAGCGCCTGGGGGGTCCCTGTCACCGTGAGGGATGAGAGATGTGGGGGGTCCATGCTTCACTTAGGGATGAGGCAACAGGAGCCCCTGAGCCATTTCAGGGAGCCCGGGAGACGGGAGCTGCTCTCCGGTTGCGTCTGCTGCCCGCAGCCTGGGTGAGTTCAGAAGGGACACGGTGGACACGGTGTCCTGGTGTCCTGACGCTGGGCCCGCTGCCTCGGGGCAGGGTGGAGGCAGCAGCTAGCCAGCCAGGTCTGGCCACAGCGAAGTCACCCCTGGTCTTGGGGCCGCCTAGCAGGGGACCACGTTTCTCAGCCCTTTGGTCAGGTTGGCACGCCACTCACCTGGGTCCTGGGGACGTGTGCAGAAGGGATGAGACAATGGGAGGTGTGCCTCCCCTCCCTCTCTCCCGATACCTATGCCAAGGTGACAACATCCTGGAGACAGAGGAGCCCGAAGGTGGAAGAATCCTGGGTGCTGAATGACCAGGTGGAGCAGAGTGCCCATGCCAGCCTCTCCCTCCCGAGAGCAGCCCCCCAGCAGGCTCGGTTATGAAAGCCCTGGGGACCAAACGTGCTTAGGAATCAGACATGGATTCTAGCCCAGCTTTCTCCTGCTTATTTGCTGTGCAACCTTGGACAAGTGACTCTACCTATCTGAGCCTCTGCCCCCTCATATCTTAAAAGGATTTATAATCCTTCTACGTAGCTTTGCCAAGAGAATCCAACGTCACAGGCCCAGCACAGTGTTTGGTGCATAGTGGGTCTTCAGCCAAGGTCAGCTCCCTTCTTTCCCCCATTCCTGGCAGCCTTTGAGGCCGAGAGGCTGGCAGGCACCCCCCACCAAGCTGTGACGCAGACTCCAGTTTTTCTCTGGAGTGAGTGACAGGTTCAGGGAGGCGGAACACAACAAGCACTTGGAGTTCACGTTCCTGGGCGATGCTGCCTTCCAGGCTGGGACTGGGCTCATCGTGGAAAGGTCTCACCGGGAGGGGAACTCTCCTGACATCTGAGTCCATCCACCCCCCCCAGGGCCGGGAAGACCTGGCCAGGGAACTCTTTCTCCTTGTCCTCAGCCCAGTCCAGGGCCAGAGCTGTGGGGCAGGAGCAGGGGGCAGGGTTGTTGTGAGGACCATGATGTCGGGTGGTGCAGTGGGATGACCAGCTCCTTCTTGCAGAAGGTCAGGGCCGCGGGAGGCCATCCCTGTGCGTCTGGGCCAGCCGCCCCCTGCCCACGCCCCCTGCCCACGCCCCTGCCCGCGCCCCCTGCCCACGTCCCTTTCACAGACAAAGAACCAGAGGCCGGGAGAGGACGCGACTTATCTGCACGGAGGCAGGGAGGCAGCGGGGCCTCCGACAGGGCACCCGGAGGGCCTGCGGGGCACCAGCCCTTCCTGTGTCTCAGCTGCGACGGGGGAGGGGGCCACGGCCACAGTTCACGGTTACAACAGGCAGGACCTAGAGCGCATCCAAAGGACTTGCCTCCCACCCAGACCTTCCGTGGCTGCCGTGGGCTCAGGATTGGAGGGAGCCGGGATCCAGGAGCAGCGGCTGTCCCTCCCCCAGCTCCGTGGCTTGCCTGGCCCGCCTCGTCCTCAGCCTGACCCCTCTTGTTCTGTGTGTCCTGAGGGTCGTGACCCCTCCACTGGGTGGTGAGGCCCATGGCCAGGGACGGGAGTGTGTTCAGGGCTCGCGCCTGGTCATGCTCGGTGGCATCTGCCCATCACAGCAGAGCGGTCTCGTTCCCGATGCAAAATCCTTTCCTCCCCACTCTGAGGTGAGACAGCTTCTGGTCCTGCACCTCCAATGGCCCCTTCAGCTGGGCCACTTTGGGCAAGATATTGAGGTCTCTGAACCTCGATCCTCACTGCCAATGCAGCGCTGTGAGGAGTGGGTGTCTCGAGGAGCTGGATGGCAGAGGTGGCCTGGGAAGCCAGACACGGCAGGTCACCCAGCCAGCACCCAGTGGCCGTCTACACCCCTCCACCCCCCACCCAAGGAGGACCCCTCGGGGCCAAGAGGCACATTTGGTAGCATTTTGGACCAGGACCTTCTCTCGGCCTCCACTTCCTGTCTCATGTCACAGAGGCTCACTCTGTTTGTCCCAAGTCTATTGAGTGCTGTTTGGGAAGTTCCCGTCCTGGAGCACACGAGCCGACCTCCAGGGGTGGGCCATGATTGAGGTGAGGCTGAGGAACTGTGTTGGGGGGCCCTGTGCGTGGGAGGACATCTCCATCTCAGGTGCTGGTGACCACACGTTTCCTTTCTTTTTGGAAACATGCTCTTTCTATGTTGTTAAGGGATCCTCCTTCCTCAGCCTCCCAGTAGCTGTGGGCCTCACTGGCCACCCCAGGGGGACATGACCATTCCATGCACACACACACACACACGCACATCCCATGCACAGGTGGGTTTTACTGTCCCCTCCCCAGTTTAAACTTGAAGACCACTGGGCACCACACGCTGGGTGAGGCACCAGTAGGTGATCTGGGGAGGAGGGGCTGGCGTTGGTGGGGGACAGACCACCTCTTCTTTAAGAACAGGAAATGCAAGGACACAGCTTCGTAACAAATCCACTTTAATTGATAGTGAACGAAGAGGTCCGGGACAGTGAGGGTGACAGGGTGAGACCAGGCCCCACACGCCTGTGGACAGGTGGCTGGTCTGCTCCGAGGGTTCTGACTGGGAGGATGGACAGCCAGGAGACAGAGCGGGGGTAGAGCTGCTGCACTGATGGCGGGCGGGGACAAGACGCAGGCAGGGGCCAGGTGTGCGGAGCCGGGGCCGGGGGCGTCTGCATTCACCTGTGGGCACATGTCCACACTGCCCATAGGGACCTCCCGGGGCAACAGGGGTCAGACGCCCCAGATCCCTGAAGAAGCATCGAGCGAGGGGGCGAAAGGGCCAGAGCTAGTCCTGCTTCTGCCACTTTGACTGGGTGACCTGGGCACGGATGGGGCTTACCTTCCTGGGCCTCCGAAAACTCACTCAGTGACTATTGTGGTTTCCTGTGACCTTAAACTTCAATATTTTTCAGGAGATTAGAACATAAACTGTATCTGTTGACAGCTGGGCCTGGTGGTGCCTGCCCATAATCCCAGTGACTCAGGAGGCTGAGGCACGAGGATCTCAATTTCAAAGCCAGCCTCAGCAACTTAGCAAGGCCCTAAGCAACTTAGTGAGACCCTTTCTCTTAAATAAAAAAATAAAAAGGGCTGGAGGTGCGGCTCAGTGGTTAGTGCCTTGGGGCTCCCAGTTCAGACCTGTGGCCTGGGCACCAGGAGAGGCCCGCAGGAGCCTTTCTCCTGCCTCCTCCCAGGCTCTGCTCTGACCTCAGCTGCCCCTCCTTTTGAGGCATCGAGGTGGACAGAGGCCAGAGCTGGGGATGTGAGCCCCTCACCCTCTCTGTTTCCTAGCACTCAGTAGGTGCTCAGTAAATGCTCCAGGAATGAACAGAGTAGAGGACAGCCCGCTCCCTGCCACAGAGCTCTGCCCTGATCTAGCTAGGAGGCAGGGCGGGCCTGGGCCACGTCACCTTCCCCTCCTGTCTCAGTGGCCGCCTGCCTGCCCAGAGGCCTGCAAGTGTCTGGGAACAGCGCAATCCGCTCCCTTACAGGCCAATGGTTACGTGCAGACAGACCACGGGACCCTGTCTGGAGCATGAGAGGAAGGTGTCCCCAGAGGAGGCAGGGAATCTGAAGTTGGGGCCCTAGGCAAGGACGGGTGGCGAGGCTTCCCTGTCTACCACTAACACAGCACGAGCCGCAAAGGAAGCCGCGGGGGTCAGACAGCAGCCCCGAGGGTGTGGCTCACGTGGGCGTGGCCTGGGAGGGCTGGTGGGCGTGGTCTGGGAGGGCGTGGCCTGGTGGGCGCGCCGCCCCTCCCCCCCCCACACACACTGGCTCGACATCCGGGAGCAGCAGGTGGGTGGACATGGCCGCCAGGGTCCCCCTGCCGGAAGCCGCTCCTGTCCAGCTGTTGGACTCTCAGTCCGCAACTTGTCCTCGGAGGCTCCCGACCTCTAGCATCAGCTTGTCTCCCAACCCAGCGACCGGAAGGCTCCAACTCAGGGCCCGCATCGGTCCTGACAGCTCCTGGTTGGCCCCTGTCCCCAGGGATACGTTGGTCTTCCCACGGAGCAGCCGAAGTCCGGGGAAGCCACGGACAAGAGGACAAGAGGGAAGTGGCGAGGGCAGAATGCTCAGGGCCTGGCGCCTGGGCCTCGGGCTGGTGCCAAAGGTCTTTGAACACAATGCTGCTGAGCTCTTGGGGACACCGCAGCGGGCGTCTGGGGCCACCTCCCTTAAGGCACTGCCCGAGCCCCTCCCCTGGGTCCCTCCCTCTCACTGGATGGTGCACTTGTCCCTCTCCCGGGCCTGGCCCTCCCGAAGGACCTTGGCCTTGATGTACTTGAGGTCACTGTTGACGCTGGGGCGGCGGGCGAAGGGCGACACCATGCCGTAGGCGCCCGTGTCCTTGACGCGGCGCATGCAGAAGGGCCGGGGGTGGAAGGCGTCGCCGTGCTGCACCGAGATCTTGCGGTGCAGCGCGGGGCTCATCTCGTGGGGCAGCTTGGCCATGCTGAAGAGCACGTAGAACATCTCGTCCACGTTGGTGTTCTTCTTGGCCGACACCTCGAAGTAGGCACAGTTCTCGTCGCCCGACACCAGCAGCTCGGCCTCGGTGGCGGGCACCTGGCGGCACAGCTCGCTGTGGTCGTTCTTGTTGCCGCAGATGACCATGGGCAGCTCGGCCGCCTCCTTGGTCTTATTCTTCAGGCAGGACTTGACCTCCAGGATCTGCTTTTGGAGGCGCTTGACCTCGTCGAAGGACTCCCGGTTGTCCAGGCTGAAGACCAGGATGAAGACGTCGCCTGCGGGAGAGAGCGAGGCCTGAGCGCGCGCGCCCTCCCAGCCGCTCCCCCGCAGAGTGAGGGAACCCCCGCGGCTCTGGGGTAGCGGCTGTTACTCTCCCCATCTGAATGTGACTGCAGGGCTGGAGGCAGGGGACCTGAGGACTTGAGGGGACTGTAGAGTGTTAGCAATTTCAAGGATGCTCTCAGATTTCAGGAGAGTCGAGTCCTGCCTGTCCTGCTCAGTGCATGTCCCCGGGACACGCAGCAGGAGCTCAGCAAACACCCGTGGCCATAGTTAAGGTCCAGATGCTGGCACCAAGGGCCCCAGGTGCGCATGCTCCTCCTCTGCTTACACCTGGCCTGGGGTGGCCTGCGACTCTCCAGCTCAGTTTCCTACCTGGACAACCTACTGGGTTATCTTGAGAGTTCCTGGAGATAGTGAATGCAGGTGGCACGCACTCAGCCTTCTCGAATGTCAGTGATGACAAGGACAGGCAGCTCTTCGAGCTCCCTGTTGGCTGCTCCCTAACTTCTCACAGCACCTCCGTGAGGGAGATTTCATTACTTTCCTATTACAGGTGAGCAAACCAAGCTCAGAAAGGGCAAGCAACCTGTCCAAGGTCACACAGCTTAAATGCCAAGCCAAGATTGCAACCCGATTCTGTCCTCGTGTGGCCCACGCCTGGCACACAGTAGGTGCTCTCTCTTCTTGAATAAACCATGAAATGAGCAGGTGAACATTACCTCCAAGGCCCTTGTTTCCTCTATTACAACTCTCGGCATCACTTAAAACAGTGACTCTCAACAGTGACTGGAAGCGGGAGGGGGCGGCAAGTGTGTGGCCAGCACCTCCACGTTCCTGCCCAGGTCACAGTTCCTATGACGGTCACCATCTATTCTCCAGGCTTCTTCTCACTTTCGCTTAGACTCAGAGTCCCTGTCTCACAGGCGAGGGAACAGGCTCAGAGGAGGTGGCCCTGGGACTCATCCTCGGGAGGAGATGGACAAGCCCAGCTTCTGGCAGAACCACCACCTTCTCCCTCTGGGCCCAGGGCCCACTGGTCCCCTATAATTGAGCATGTCATGTTCAGAACAGCGTCTGGCTGCAGTGTGCTCTGAACAGGGGGATCAGGGGCACGGGACTCCATCCCAGCTGGGGCCTGCACTCAGTGCTGGCCACAAGGCTGGCTGGGCCCAGGTGGGGCCTGTGAAGGACCTCAATGTTTTGAAGGGCACCAGCAAGGCAGCCCCAGCCCACCCACCGCTTCTGCCCTGGCAGCCAGCCCGTCCCATCAGGCTCATCTCAGCCCCCGAGGACGCGGCAGCCTGACATTTTTAAACGCGACACAGATGCCAAGCACCAAAAGCCCGACAGGGCAGCAGCTGGAGAGAGAGCCGGCAGCTGGAGAGAGAGCCGGCAGCGGGATTAATGGCTTCCAGAATTCCCTGCACACCAGCCCCAGGTCGGAAAACGAGGCACAGGCTGGAGAGGGAACAAAGCACCGCAGCAGATGTGCTCAGAGCGCCCGCGCACGCCCGCGCAGCACAGACAGACCAGGGCGCTGGAGGCCGCAGGGACACGCATCTGAATGCCAATGTGCTCATGGAGGGCCTGGAGGAGTCACCCTAGACTGAGGGGGCAGCCACGGGGGGACGCAGCGGCCCTGATGGGGACTCGGTCCCGGGCCCCGTCCTCTCTGTAGCGTGGGATGGAGGTGCGTCTGTGTAACTGGAAACTAACTGAAAACACACTCGGTCCTTCCCTGTGTCTCCCCGCACCTCCCTGTGATACCCGTCCCCAGAGCCCTCCCCAAGACTGGAAAAGCAGACGCCAGTGACACCCGCTGGGCTGGAGGAGGCCCCTGTGCTTTCTTTCTATGCTCACGGTCACACAGGGGACTGAGGTCATGCCTGCAGGGAGGCTGAGACGCCAGAAGGCCACACATCTAACTGCCAACCAAAGGCCGAGCCAGGATCTGAACCCAGGGCCACCCAGGGCCCCCGTCTACGTGCTCCCTCTCTAGAATATGGGTGAGGTGGGGGTCTGGGAGCAACCTAGGTCAGAGGATCAGCAAGGAGGCCTGGAGGAGGAAGCCACATGCCCGGGGAACTCACCTTGGGTCACCTATGAGCCTCCGCCCTGGTCAGGTGTGGAAAGAGGTGGGCAGGACATGGCTCCCCGAGCAGCAGGCTCTCAGTTGTAATGCTATTTCAGTGCTACCTGGAGTCCCTTGATCACACCCTCCCCTCTGCCCAGCAAAGGGAGGGACATGGTGGGACATGACAGTGTAACCGTATTGGGCACACTAGGAACATCAATTTTAAAGCCCAGAATTTAATGTCTTAATGCACTTAATGTCTGCTCACCAAGCACTTTACACGTATTAACTCATTTAATTTTCACGGGACCTTTGAGCCGGGTGTGCACGTGATCCCAGTTTCCAGAAGAGAAAACAGAGGCACAGAGAGATAAAGTCACTTGCCCCACAGGCCAAAACCAGGAAGCAGTGGAACCAGGACTGGGCCCCAGGCTGCCTCTGGACCTGTCCTCTCAGCTGCTTGATGTGCTGGCCAAGGGGACATCTGCAGGAGCTCCCCCTGCACCTCCGCCCCGTGGTAAAGGAGAGCCAGCCAGCCCAGCCAGCCACCTGGAACAAGTCACTTAACCTCTCAGCCTTGTTTCCCTGTGAGCAGAGGCAAGCGCTTGTCTGGAATTTAGCTGCGAGGATTACGCCCTGCCCACGGCTCCCATACGTGGGGCTGGTGCCCTCACCACCTGGTTGTTACTACAGGGTCCCTTCCTTTTGCCTGACCGCTGCCTGGGTCCTGCCCTGACCCCTGGGGAAGTGGCAAAGGCCTGAAAGGTCAGGAACCTGAGCCCAGATGTGGTCCCCAAGGCTCTGCCGGGTCTACTCCCTGAGCGGGGAGGTGGCAGCTTGACACAGCTCTGTCCCCTGGGCAGGAAGATCCCCAGTCCAGTCAGCTCCCGGCATGGCGCTGCCACCCGCCGCACCACCCGCGGTCTCACCTGTGAGGATGGACAGCCTCCGCATGGCGGGGAAGGGGTGGTTGCCAGAGGTATCCAGGATGTCCAGCTGGTACATGTCGCCGCGGATGTTGTAGACCTTGCGGTGGAAGTCCTCGATGGTGGGGGTGTACTGGTCCTCGAAGCGGCCATTGAGGAAGCGGGAGACGATGGAGCTCTTGCCCACCCTGGAGGCGCCCAGCACCACCATGCGGTAGGAGTTCTTGGCGGGCACGCTCAGCGTGCAGTTCCCGCTGGACAAGGTCTTCATCATGGCTCGGGGCTGCGGCAAAGCGAGGGGCAGGCGTCAGGAGGCCGGGGCCCAACCCAGCCCTGCCCCCCTGGTCGTGGGCCCAGGCCTCCCCAACCCGCGCCCCCTCCTGGGTCTCAATTTTTTGTCTGCAAAATTGCACCCGCGCCACCCGCGCCTGCGCCCTGGCCTTTCTTTACCCCCGTCCAGCCGCTCGCCCACTCGGTCACCCTCTGTCCACGCAGCCCCTGTCTGAGGGCAGCACGGATGTGAAGCCCCGCTTCCCCGCCAGCGGCGGTCCGTGGAGGGTTCCGCACAGGACTGGTCCTCAGAGAAGCTAAGCACAGTTGGAACCAGGCCTTCTGTCCCCAGCCTCTCCAGAGCCCCTGGTCCTGGGCTTGATCCAGAGGGTCCTCACATGCATCTAAGGGTGCTGTGGCCCAGAAGGAGGGAAAGGCCACGGGGAGGGGAGGACTCCCCTCGGGCCTGAGCTTGGTGTGCCCAAGGTGGCCCCCACCCCAGTGCCCCAGTCTCCTCTCCCACCCTCACTTCCAGCCTCCCCACCCGGGCCACCAGCCTCCTCTCTGCTTCCTGCCCAGATTCTCACCTCCCAGCCCCGGGACAACTGGACCTTCCCCCACACCTCCCGGGGCCACCGGAGCCTCTTGGCCTCATGGGAAAAGCTAAAACAGATCCAAACTCTGAACCCCAAGTGGAGACAAGCAAGCAGCCAGCCCCTGAGGACCACCCAGCCCAGCCCACCTCCCTTGGCCATGTCTTCCTCTGACAGCACCACCAGAATTCCCCCAGGACCCCGGGACCCCACCCTCTGCTCACACTAGTCCCTCCCCCAATTACCCTCCCCCTCTCCCTGCAGGGTCTCCTTCAAATGCCTCCGGTCCCACAGGACTCCCTCCCGTCTAGGAAGCTCTCCAATCCCAGAACTGCCCAGAGCACTGACCTACTGGGGCAGCAACACCCTGGCCTCTGCAAGGCGGGGTGCCACCTGAGGCTCCCGGCTGGGTGGCCAGTGAGGGCCACATGCCAGAGAAAGGGCAGCTGTGCAGCTCCCTGTGCAAGGAAGGCGCTGTCTCACCTCAACAAAGGGCTCTGTGTGCTCAGCTGTGGCCAGCGCCCCTGGGTGCCCGGTGCCCCTGGGTGCCCTGTCAGCAGCCCCAGGGCTCACCCATCAACCCCAAGGTAATCGCCATCATTTCCTGTCTATGAAAGGCCACCTGCCCCTGGCAATGGCGAGACCTCCTGGGAGTGAGTCCCTGGCACGTGCCCACACCTCGCAGCCCGGCCCGAGAGCCCCTGAGCAGCGACCGTCCTCAAGACACCCTCATGCAAGCTCTGTTATTTATTTATTTATTTATTTATTTATTTATTTTAGAGCCCTGGCTGGTGGCGTTTGTCATCTCCAGGGGTGCACACTCCTGTCACGGCCAACTCCCAGCTGCCAGCGTGACCTCAACAGATGAACCGCAGAGATGCTCGCAATGGGCAAGCTTGGCCCCCGGCCCCAGGCCCGCAGCCACAATGATGGTCCACCAGCCAAGCCCAGGCTGTGCCAAGGACGGTGCTAAGTACAGAGCCGTGATGACAGCTGACATTGATTTTGCCTTTAGCATTGTCAGTGTCCTGAGGGCTGCACATATAGTCACCAGCTCATCCTTCCAGTAACACCAGAAGGTCAGTGGCGAGAAAACAGAGGCACAGAGAGGTTAAGTCACTTGATCACACTTGTTCAGCCAGTGACCGGCAGAGGGGGACTGGACCCCAGGCACCCGCCTCTCTCCCGCACTTTACAGATAAGGGCCCCGTGATCACAAGACTATGGGATGCGCCCCCTGGGTTAATGAGGGCCTGGGTGGAGAGGCCAAGCCCGGACCTCCCAGCGGCCTCTCCCTCACACCAGTGCCTACGGCCATGACTAACCCCAGCCCATAAGGAAGGACCCCTGTGGTCTCCCCCAAGCCCCGCTCCAGGGACCTCGCCCTCGCCCTCGCCCCCAGCTGGGGCAGGCAGCAGGACCGGCTGCTCCGGCTCCCGTGGAGCTGGCTGAGCTCCTTCAAGCAGAAGGGGGAGGCCCCACCTCAGGACAGCCCCCCCCCCAAGTGCCCTGCAGCCCCAGGGACAGGTCCTGTCCATCACTGCCTTGGCCCAGCCTCAGCCCAGAGCCCCAGCCGGGACAGCGGGGACAGCGGGGGTGACACCAAGGACTGAATGAACTGGAGCGTGAGAGGAGGCAGCAGGGGCCGGAGAAGGAGGCGGGAAGTGGGAAGGGGAGCCGGGTCAGAGCGGCAGGCAGGGGGAAGGTAACCAGAGGCTTTCTCCCCTGGGAAGCCAGCGCCTTCACATGGCCCCAGCCACGTGGGGCAGTGATGCTCCAGGCACCTGGAGGCCAGGTGACAGGCCTCCCCCCCCCCCGCCCCCACAGCCTCCCTCCGCCTCCCTCCCCGGGGGGGGGGGAACGCTGCGGGGACCTGTGGCCGGCAGCCTCTGCCCTCAGCCAGGCGGACCCCACAGGGAGGAGCAGGCAGGGCTCAGAGTTTGGGGGCCTTTTGAGAGTCTGGTATCCAACCTTGGAGGCCCAGAGACTGAAGAGAACACCTGGATGTGGGCACTGACTGCTGAGTCCCCACAGGGCCATTCTGAGGGCAGCTGGGAGGCAGAATGTCCCTGGAACAGGAGCAGAGATGGGGTGCAGCTGACCAGCAGGCACCTCTCGCACCAGGCATGTGCCTTATTCCCATGACTTCACAACAGTCCAAGAGGAGGGTTCCCCATGGGCCACTTGACTGATGGGGACACCGATGCTCAGAGAGGTTGAGTCACTTGCCCTGGGTCACACAGCAGATGACTGGCTGGGCTGGGCTGAGAGCAGGCTTTTAGGCTCCAAAGCCTAGGCGCTCGGCACTGTGAAAACGCACCCCTCGGCCAACAGCGGAGTCTTTTGCTAAGCGGAGTCTGACTCAGTGAAGCGTCAGCTGGCAACAGGTGCAACAGACCCCAGGCACATTTTATCCTTATTCCCTCTGTCCCTCCAGGCAGCTGGGGGCAGTCACTACCCAGGACTCTCCTGCAAACTCTGCAAGTCAGCTCCCAGAGGGGCATCTTGGGTTTCCCTTCTGCCTTGCCTGTCCCCCAGGGCCTGCCTGGAAGACAGGTCTGACAGGCAATGACAGCAGGATGAGTCTGGGTGTGCCCCTCCCCCATGTGGTCCCCGGGGGGCTTGTCCCATCCTGCCCACCACTGCTCCGGTCCCTCCATTAGTGTGCACCCCAGCCTCTGGACACACGTCAGTCACTGGCCTCCGTGCCCTACCCCCAGGGTCCTGCGGACTTTGCAAAGCCAATCTCCCTGTCCTGGGCAGCTCTGGACGCAGAGAGCACACAGGCGGGAGCTCCCAGCAGACCAGCCCCGCCTCTCGCTGCCCACACCTGCTGCCCGGGTTGCACTGTTAAATAGGATGGTGCAGACACACCTAGCATGGAGCAGGGTCCAGTGGGAGGTCAAGAGGCTGCTTGCTGCTGACCCTGGACGCAGCAGTCTTAACAAACACAAGGTTCCTTTCTTTGAGACATTTTCTCTTGGAAACATGGGGCTACCTGGAGCAGCTAGGTCTGGTGGAACTGGGAGTGCTGGCAGAGGACTAGCAGGGACCGACCCCATCTTGTCCTTCTGATGCTAGGGGAGGCCCGAATCAAGAGCCCCTGAGCTGGCCATCCCTCCCCAGCCTGACCTCCCATCTTTCAGAGGTCCTGGACAACATCCTCCATCCTCCTCCCAGGGCTGGAGGCAAAGAGGGAGGCGACAAGTCCCTAGAGCTCTGGGAGGGGTCCTGGAGCCAGCAAGTACAGGAAGTCCTTCCCCGGCTCACTCTTAGCAGCTCAGGGGACTGTATGAGCAAGGGGCCCAGGACCTTCCTTCCTCGCGGGAGGTCCTTGCCAGGTCAGGGGAAGCCACCCACCCTTTTACCCCAGCACCCCCACTCCATCTAGGTATACAGAGGCTGCAGCTCGCAGCAGGAGTGTTTGGGAAGGCAGCGCTCCTCTCCCTGAGCAAGCTTCCCCCCTTAAAAGGCCTATGATTCTCCATCTCTTACACAGAAGGCCCCTAGCACTAAACCCAACACTCAGTAGAAGCTCAATAAATCTCTTTCCTGGGATAAGTCAAAAGTCTAGAGCCCAGGCTGACACAGAGAAGGTGCTCCCCTGTTTAATTCTCTTTCTAGACAGGCAAAGTTGCCAGATGGAGAGGGCACACAGTAGGTGCAAAAGCCACGTCAAGTTTCCCTGGCCTTGACGGCTTCTCTGAGCCCTTGCCCGATCTTCTCAGCTGCCCCACTTCACCCAGCACCTCAGCTCTGCTGGGGTGTTTGTCTCCTACCTGGGAAGGCCGGGCCCCCGGGCCTCTGGATCGGCTCGGGGGGCTGCCTGGAAGCGCCTGGAGGTGCGGAGAACCGCCTGCCGCTCCAGCCGCCGAGCCTCCCAGCGTCCGCGGCGGCTCCCGGGTCACTGCGCAGGGATCCTCCTCTGCGCGGCTCGGGGCGCCGGGCTGGGCGCGGCCGGCCGAGGAGGCGAGCGGAGCCGGGGCCCCATGGGTGGGCTCCGAGGGCTCAGCGGGGTCCGGGCACTGGGCGGGCTCCGGCTCGCCGTCGCCGGCCCTGCCGTGCCCTGACCCGGGGGCCTCCTGCTGAGCCAGGTGACCGGAGGCTTGGGGACGTCGGATCCGGGGTCCCGGCCTGGGGCTCCGGGGTTGGGGGAGGGATGGAGGGACGACTCCGGTCTTAAGGAGCGGCGCCCCGGAGACTCGGATCCTTCTGGGTGACTGTGGGTGTGTGCGTGGGTGCGCGTCCCAGGCTGGCTAGCCCGCCTCGGTCGCCTACGCTACCTTCCCCTGCCCAAAGGGGGTCTCCCGGGTGGGGACACAGGCGCTGCCGGCTCGGCCGCGGCCTCCTCCTCAGCCCGCAGCTCTGCAGCTCTGCCCGGCTGGAGCCCCGGCTCCCTTCTCCTTGCCAGGAGACGCCAGCCGCCGGAGGAGGAGCAGGGCGCTCGGCTCCGCGAGCGTGTGGGAGGAGGCCTTGAACGCCGCCCCAAGGTTCCGCGCTCCAAGTTAGCCGGAGCCGGCGCCGCCTCCCTGCTCGCCTCCTTTTCCCCCAGAGGAGGAGAACTTTCTGCGGGCTCGGCTCCTCCCTCCGCCCCTCTCCGGCTGGAGAACGCCCCCCTTTCCCCCTCAGAGCGAAGCTGCGGGTCCCTCCCCAGAGTGGTCGGAGCCCAAGCTCCCGATGGCGGCACCCGCGCCCTCTCCCGCCGGGCGAGCGTCGCCAGTGGTCCGGCCGCGCGGCGCCCACCTGCCCAGCAGCCCGCGAGCGACGGGTCCAGCCGCCTGCGCCCGCGCCTCCCTCCTCTGCCAGCCCCGCCCCCGAGCCCCGCCCCCGCCGCTCCGGCCAATGGGCAGAGGTCGCGCGGCCCGGCTCCGCCCCCGGCCCGCCCGCGCCCGCCCGGGCGCCGCAGTCTGCTGGTTCCGCGTGCCCAGGCGCGTGGGTCCGGGGCCGCGGGGACGGCCGAGGTTCTGGCGCGCGCACCGTGACCGGAAAGAGGCGCGGCACGAGCCTCGGAGGCTGACGTCTGCGCACGCATTCGCCCGCTCGACTGCCCCGGCCGCAGGTGACCGGCTGGGTCCTCAGCGGACCGCGCCTAGGGGGCTCCTGGGCGCTCCCCCCCGCCACGGAACCCCCAAGACCCTCCCAAATGCCCAATCTGCCCGCCCCGAGCCGTTGCCTCTTTCTTGAGGTCGCAATGCCAGCTGCACCCCGTGGACTGGCACATGGGCCGCGCACGTGCAATCTCGGGGGCGGGGTGGGGGCGCCCAGGAGTCACCTTGACCTAGCGCGACGGAATGGGAAGTCTGCGCCTGTGCGGGTCTGAGAGCGCTGCACCCAGAGCCCTGCCGGGGGGCTCCGTTGAGCCCCTGGGCAGCGCCTCTGTCGCCATATCCCCCACCCCTCCCCCACCCCCGTGTTGGGGATCGAATCCAAGCCTCGTGATTAATAGGCAGGCACCCGACCACTGAGCTACCCCAGCCCTCTCTTCACAGCGAAGGGTTTGCACGGGTCAGACGTCAGGGGATCTGACTGTGCCATATCTAGACACCACTTATTACTTAATATTTTCTTTAAATCCCAGATCCACTCTCCCCCACCCCCAACATATTTTTCAGAGACACGTTAATATCACTGCCTTAAATGGGAAACCAGTATGGCTTACCATAAATAGTCGGTACCAGTGGAATAAGCTCAATGGAAACAAAGCACAATTATTGGATTCTGGCTGGAATCTGTGTCCTGCCAAGGTTTGAGACGTGCCCTTAGTCAAAAGGGAGATGGGAAACGTTCCGACCATTCGCACCAGGGAGATTTTCCCCTTCATGTGTTCAGGAGGCTTCAAAGAGAATGTTCTCTGCGTTCCTCACTCCAAACCCTGAGCCTGGGGTGTCTGCCCATGTTAGCCCCACCTCAGCACCTGGCTCCCCACCTGGGGACCTGGCTCCCCGCCTCATGACAGCAGTGAGACCTGGGAGCGCCAGCTCCCGCAGCTGTGAGCACCCACACCTCGGATCCTGGGCCAGTCCCAGGAAGTCTCTGGGCCTTGACTGGGTCAAGTATAAGAGGAACAAGATACTGCTGTGTCCACAGAGTGACAAAACTGCCAAAATGACCTTGACTTTGAGCCTAGAAAGTTGCTTGTCCTCCGGTCCTGGTACCTTCTCCAGCTGCTCCAGGGAGGCTGACCAGGAAGATGGGGAGAGTGGAGGTGGGGCGGCTGGGTGTTCAGAGGGCCCACCACTGTGCTCCTCGACTGTTCGGTACCCAGTCTACATCTCAGAGGGGCTTTGGGGATGTGTCCAAGGTCACAGGTTGGCAAGAGGTCGGGTCCTGGCCTAGGGCTCTTCCATGTCCAGACTTGGTCTTCTAGGAACTGGTTCTAGCCCCGGAGGGTTTGTGCTGAGCTTGACGCACACAGCCTCTGAGCCTTGACTGGCTGTGAACTTGGCGCCGGGAGGCAGGCCGGGAGGCATGCTTCACCTGGGAAGCTGGGGTCAAGAGGACTCAGGCCACTGGGCCAGCTCCCATCATGGGTCTGTGGCAGGTGGCCAGCTGTGAACTGGCCCAAGAACCCATTACCGCTTCAGCTGAGTCCTCCTCCGAGCACACACTCCACTGGCCATGTCCCCATGGTGAGGGGAGCTGCACGTGGCACTGAGAGACCCTGGGAGAGCCCTCCACTTCTACCTCTGACTGCTGCGCTCTCCTTCCAGCCACCCAGTGCAGTTAATAAGCAGATGCACAGAAGGGACCAGTGCCCAGGGAACCTTCTTGTGGCATCCGCGCACCTCACACGCGTGCCCATGTCCCCATCCTCTCCACTGTCAGGACCAATTTGCTGTAGCTACCTGCCTCATTGGACTCTCTGTCAACCCCTTCTCCCACAGAAAACAGGACCACTTAAACCTTTTCCTAAAAATGCCGTCCCCTGCTCAAGAACTTTCAGTGGCTCCCCATTTCTTAAGGTATAAAATCTAAATTCCTTATGCTGGCACACGAAGCCTCTAACCAGGATCTGATTCTCACATGCCCTGCACTAGCCTTCACTCTGGCTAAATCGAACTACTGCCAGGTCCTTAAAGAAGTGGGACTTGCCTCCTCCGGATTTGTGTACACTGGTCCCCTGCCTCGGGCACCCTGTTCTCTATCTCTACCTATTGGCATGACCTTCACCTTTCTCCCCACAGACTTTCTCCTAGTCTCTCTGTCAGCAGGACCCTGTCCTCCTCGGGGCTCCGGTGGCACCAAACCTGGCTCTTGAAACCCATTTCTTTGCCTTAGAGCGAGTGTTACCATAGCTGCCGGGTGGAACTGTTGGGGGGACGAAGACAAACTGTAAAGTGCCTGTGTAAAGCGGCCTTGGCCAGTCTTGACGACCTCCTCTCTAGCCCGTGTCCCCTCTTGCCTCACGTTCCGGACACGGTCCTCGTCAGCCTGGTTAACGTGAGTTCCTCGAGGCGGAGACTCAGCCTGATTCATCTTCCAGTCCCCACATCATTAAGGGGCAGCGTCCTGTACCTTGTGCGTTTTTAATGGACACTTATTGAATCACGCTCAGAGCAGATCTGCACACTGTCCCCTGGGAGACAAGGGGAAGGGGAGGGCAGAGCGGCGTGGGGGAGGCTGGCTGGGCCTCCCAACAGCCCCGCGTGCTGCAAGGGAAACCGAGGCCCTGGGAGGCTCTAATGCCAGGCAGCTAGTGAGGGGCTGGACTGGACTGAGATCATTTTTTCCGCTGAATATCCTGTCCCCTCCCAGCTGCTTCTCTAGAACAGTGGCCCCTAACCCTGGCCCTCAGGGAGCTTTACAAAGAAGCAAAGCCCAGGCTCCCGGCTCCGGGGTTGGGCCTGGGAGTCACGGTGTTCCAAACTCGTCCATCCGAGTGAGGCCAGAGCGCGTCAGTGTGGCTTCCTTACACGTGGCCGCTGGGAATTAAAGAGGCAGAATCTCAGCCCCACTTACCCCATGGAATCTGGATGTCCAACTCAGGGACACGCCAAAGTGTGAGAAGCACTGGCCAGAGCCTGGGTTTGCAGTACCTTTGAGGTCCCATGCCTGACCTTCCTAATTGGCAGACAAATGTGGTTTGTGGCTTGACTAAGACCAACATGTGCTGACCAGAGGCGAGACCCGGAGCCCATCTCTGACTCCGAGAACAGTGCTCTTTCCTGCTGGACAGGCATTAACTGCATTGATGGCCTTGGCAGGCCTGGGCATCTGATTCAGCATTGAACTTGAGGGGAGGACAGTGGGTCACCAGCTGCGCAAGCCCAAGTGGATTGAGGCACAGGACAGACACCTGTCCGTGTAGAAAACAGATGGCCAGAATGGAATGGCAGGGCCTGGCCTTTCAGAACCTGGCCTGACATCTCTGGGGGCAGAATGGCAGGGAAGAGGGGTGTCTCCAGGTCAGAGGTCAGCAGGAGCACATTCAAAACAGCTGCCACCCTGTACCCTTCCTCTTATTCGACCATTTCTGTCTTTGCTGCCTGCACAGGTATCCTCCTGCCCCAACTCTGCCCCATGAGACTCATGATCTAAACAAACCCCAACTCAATCAGAAGACTGAGTCTAATCCCAGCTAGACCAGAAGATTGCTGTGTGGCTCTTAATGAGCTGTTTAACCTCTCTGATCCTCTGATCCCAGCACTTTTCCTCCTTACCTCTTACGCTGCTGCCGGAAACACTGGCCTGTAAGCCCTTGAGTTTCCCAGGCTCTCTACACCTGCTGGCCCCTGCTGGAGCCAGTGCCTCTGCCTGAGGGGCCTCTCATCTCTGGGATGCTGTTAGATGCCCAGTTTTCCTTTCGCTGCCTCTGGGAAGCCTGCTGCCCCTCCTCCACATCCCCAAAGCTGAAGCTGCCCTGCAGAAGGAATCCCCTGCCGCGGGAGCAGCCTGTCTTGTCACTTGGTGCAGCAGGCTGAGTGAACAGGGCTCCGTCCTCCTCTGTTTAACTAGAACGTTGGGCCAGATGCTCTCTGAGGCCCCATCTGAGCCCTCGTGACTGAGCTGGGTGAGTCCCCTCCAGGTGACTCAGGCACTTTCCAGACCATGTGTGTGGAAACTAGAGAAAGGTGCCTTCCCAGGAAGAGGCAGCCCCGCATCAGGGCTCACAGTCTGAGCTGAACACGAGCTGAATTTCCTCAGCTGAGTGCCCTTGAGCAGTAAGCAACCTGCACAACCAGACAGGGAAGCCCTTTGTGACCTCATCTCACCCTTGAAATGGACACGAGACAGTTTCGCAGGAAATGGTGAAAAA